TACTCTATTTTTAATCACGTTACCTCCACGCTTCGCTATTGTGCAATCTGTTATGCGTTTTTGCTGCGCCAGCAAAAACGCATATTGTCGAGAGGCTGTTTGTGTGTGTGTGTGTGTATGTTCGGAAGCAGGTGCATTTTGTCACCCACTTTCATCTCAGCAACCAGGAAAGCTGGGAGGCTGAAACCTTGGATATATGTTCCTACCCCGTGTGTCATCCTCCCGTTTCAAGATGTTCCTCTACACGCACCTAGGCCCCGCGTACGGGCCCCCCAAAAAATATGTTGGCGGGAAACGATTTCGCGAACCAGGCGAGGTAGAAAGGTGAAGCTTTTAGGGATATTATCTATGCACGTGCGAGCTATAGATTTTAAATTCAGCTGTCGAGCACCCCAACCACAGCTTCAAGCAGCTCCTTAACCCAAAAATCGTTAAGAAATCCACTGCAACCCGTACCCGAGTCCCGATCGTATATGTAAATGAACATTAGTTAATTTGCATACATGAATTGTTTGACAAACGACCGCTCGAGCAATACTTCGACTTTTTAGTGAACTAGAAATATGCATTTTTTCAAAAAATTTGCATTTGTCATTTTTTCACAAAGCGAGCATTTACCGAAAAAAGGACCGGACTTCATGCAAAAAATCGGTAATCATGCACCTGTATGTCCGTGCGGCTCTACAATGCATCGCCTTCATCCCAACTGGCGTCCTTCCTCCTGCGTGCCGGAAAGGATCAAAGCACGACCAATATGAACCTAAGTGTTAGGTTATAGCGTAGGGATCATTCCTGCTAATAGCCATCTGCGAGTTTAGTGCAAAAAAAGCATGATCGCACCGGAGAGTCTTGTGCGTTTCAGCCTGGGTTTTTTGTAAGGTACAACTACGAACTGCATGCTCTCAGTAAGTGGTACGCGTCGCATATGTCAGTATGAACGCGCTGTTTTCAAAAGCGGCTCGGATGAGTGTTTGATCTTTATTTCGTTATTTTCTTTTCTGATACACGACGTCAGTCAGTGCGTGCAAGATGAAAAACAGGTCCCGCTTATCGGTCTTTACTTTGTTTCGTGGCCAGACTAATGCTCAGCAAATTACTTTTCTGATTGTTCACGTGGCCATGAAGGGAGATTTGAAGCAGATAACTGTAGTTCGTGCTACTTGAGCGTAGTCAAGCGAAATGCAAAACCAGTGCCTGGATATGCACTTCTGTGCACTGGAACTGCCTGCCCTAACACTCTCGTACCACACTGAGGTGCTTGGGTCAAAATTTCTTAATGCATTTTATTCACAAAAATAAAAAGTGAAATTACTGAATAATTCTTTAGGTATCATTCGATGCGGACCGATGATGGTGCACTCTCAGACAGATTTCCAGTGAGTAGTTCAGCAGACGCTCGCAATATTTTTGGTACAGCTGACGGTGATGCGAAATCAGGCAGCTCTCCAAATGATATTGTTTCTCCAACAGTTATGACATCATCCGGTTTTACAACATCTTCCGGTTTTCAAGATTCTCCAGAGAGGTCACCGGACAAGGATGCCGAGTTTGGCGAAAAATTTTCCGACATGACTGTCACGCTGAAGTAAAATTTTTCTCTTTTCATCAGATCGCTCCCAACTGTCGCTGCCAGACAAATTTAGAGAAGTATTTTACTGTTGGCCGTTTGTTTGATGCATTAGCTCCACAATCTAGCTGAATCATCGCAGTCTAGGCTATTCTGTAAAGCGCTCCATGCAACAGAGATGCAACCGTATACCGGATGCAGCTATGCCAAACACTTCTGTTCTGGCCTCCTAGCTCCGTCGTGTAGTCATATTAGACTTGCACATTGGCTTGATCGGGTTTTCCTTTTTTTTAATAATGTCCTTCGGTAGCATGCCCGAGGCGAGGGGACACAAAGAGAAGAGGTGCCGTTCAATTTTGTGACTGATAAGAAGCACAAGAACCTTTTACGTGAGGCGAAATAAATTTAAATAAAAGCGGTGCGCACCTGGGTAGCCGGTACTATCATGTGCAGCGCTACTGCGCTGCAACTGTGAGCAAATACGCATTGTCAAGAGGTTGTTGGCGTGTATGTGTGTATGTGCGCGTGCGTATGTATGTATGTATGTGCGAACTTTGTT